CTCCAATAAAAGGCTGAGATTACCAGAATAGATGGGAAAGCACCATGCAACCATATGCAGTCTATAAGAGATATTTAAAGATTATAAACAAACATAAGTAGATACAAATATAAAGATACAGATGGGTTGAAAGTAAGTGGGTGGAAAAATATATACTATGCAAACTGCCACCATAAAAAAGCAGGGATGGCCCTCATAATATCAGATAACATAGACTTCAAGACAAAATATATTACCAAACATAACAAGGGACATTTCATAATGATGAAAGGGTCAATTCATTTGGGAGACATACAATAAAAAATGTGTACATATCTATAAAAGAGCTTCAAAATACATGATGCAAAAATACACACAAATAAAAGAGAGAAAGTTCCAACTCACAGCTGGAAAATTTAACATCCTCCTTCTTAACAACTGGTAGACAAGTAAATAAATGAATTGGTAAAGTCATAGAGAATCTGAACAGCACTATTAATTATTTTGAGCTAAGTGGTATTTACAGAACCCTGCACACAACTGCTGAATACACGTTCTTTTCTGGGTACATGGCATGGTCACTAAACTAGACCATTTTCTGGGCCATTAAGCAAATATCTATAAAATTAAAGGATTTAAATCATGCAGATAAGGTTTTCTAACCACAACTGAATTATATTCAAAATCAATAAAAATAAGTTGTGAAGAGAATCCCAAATATTTGGAAACAAAAAGGTATACTTCTAAATAATCCATAGGTTGAAGAAGAATTCTCAAGGGAAACTTAAAAACCAGACACTGAACTAAATTAAAATGAAGAGGCAATGTATAAAAATTGATGGGATGCTGCAAAAGCATGGCTTAGAGGAATATTTATAATGGTGATAGGCTCAGTAATGGCCCTCCCAGATATGTCCATGTCCTAATCTCTGGAACCTGTGACTATCACCTCATATGACAAAATGGACTTTGCTGGTGTGATTAAGTTAAGGATCCTGAATAAGGAGATTGCTTTGGATTATCTAAATGAGCACAAAATGTAATCACAAGTGCTCTTATAAGAAAGAGAAAGGGGGAGATTTGCCCTCATTTTCATTTTAAAAGAGAAGCATTCAGGGTCACCTGCCTGGCTCAGTCGGGGGAGTGTGTGACTCTTGATCTCATAATGGGGTTGTGAGTTCAAGCCCCGTGTGGGGTGTACAGATTACTTAAAAAATAAAATAAAATCTTAAAAAAAATTCCATTTACAATAGTGCCAATAACCACAACATACTTAATTGTAAGTTTAATAAAAGTGATGCAAGAGCTCTTCACCAGAAACTACAGAACATTGCTGAGAGCAGTCTGACAAGACTTAAATGAACACAAACATATAACATGTCATGAACTGGAAGACTCAATATTGCTTCCATGTCAGTTTCCTCCAAATTTATCTGCAGTTGATGTAATACCCATCCAAATCCCGGTAGACATTTTTGGTAGAAATTAAAAAGCTGATTCTAAAATGTATATGGAAATACACATGATCTGGAATGGCCAAAGCAATTTTAAGAAAAGAAGAACAAAGTTGGATGTCTTACTCTACTTCATCATATGACTCACTGTTAAGCTATAGAAAACAAGACAGTGTGGTGTTAGCAAAAGGACAGACATATAAATTAATGAGACAGACTGGAGAATCCAGAAGTAAACTGAAATACATATGCTCAATTGATTTTCAGAAGAGGAGCCAAGGCAGTTCAGGAGAGAAAGAAAAGTCTCTTCAACAAATGGTACTAGGACAACTAGATATTCACATGACACAGATGATCATCAGTCTCTTTCTCACATCATACCCAAAACTTAACTTGAAATGGACCAAAAAGTTAAATGCAAAAACTTTAACTTAACAACTTGTAAAAGAAAATGGAGGAGAAAGTAATTGTAACTTTGGAGTTAGGCAGTGATTTCTTAGATAAGACTCAAAAAGCGTGAACCATAAAAGAAAAAAAGTTGATAAATCGTATTTTATAAAAAAAATTGTATTTTATCAAAATGAAAAACTCCGATTTTTCAAAAAAAAAATGAAGAAAGGGAAAAACAAGTCCCAGAACAGGAGAAAATATTCTCAGTACACATATCTGACAAATGACTTGTATCTAGAACATACTAAAACTTCTCACAACTCAATAATAAGACTCAATTTTGAAGAGGGGGCAATAGATTTATTTCTATTTATTTATTTGAGAGACAGAGAGAGTACATAAGCAGGGGAAGGGGCAGAGGGAGAGGAAGAGGGGAAGCAGACTCCCCGCCAGTCACAAGGCTAGATGCCATGCCCCTGAGATCATGATCTGAGTCAAAACCAAGATCATGGTCAACCACCTGAGCCACCCAGGCTAAGTGGGCAATAGATATAAACAGACACTTCACAAAAAGAAGATACAGGAATGCTTCATAAGGATATGATAAGATGACTGACATTATCATCAGGAAAATGCAAATTAAACCTTCCGTGAGACATTACTACACTCCCATGGGAATGGCTACAATGAAATAAATGGCCAATTCCAAGTACTGGTGAGGACACAGAGCAACCAGAACTCTCATAATTGCTGGTGAGAGCATAAGGTGTACAACCACTCTGGAAAATTATTTGGCATGTTCTTCAGAAGCTAAGTATAAGCCTACCATACCACACAGCCTCTCTTAGCGCATACCCAAGAAAAATGAAAACATGCCCATACAAGACTAGTAGAGAGCAGTCTTGTTCACACCTGCTTCTCAGAAACAACCAGAGTACCCGCCTGGTCCAGTCAGTATGTGACTCTTGATCTCAGGTCATGAGTTCAAGCTGCACTTTGGGTGTAGGGATTACTTACAAATGAAATATTTAAAAAAGAAGAAGAAATGAAACAGCTCCAGTGTCTGTCAAGAGGATAGGCAAAATGTAGCATATCCATACATATCACTCATTTTAAAAATTGAACTACCAGGGCTCCTAGATGTTCAGTGGGTTGAGCATCAGACTCTTGGTTTTGGCTCAGGTTGTGACCTCAGGGTCCTGGGATCGAGCCCCGAGAGTCGGGCTCCACGCTCATCAGGGAGATTGCTTCTCTCTCTCTCTCTCTCAGTCTCTTAAAAAGAAGTGGGGGCACCTGGGTGGTTCAGTTGATCTGCCTTCAGGTCAGGTCATGATCTCAGGTCCTTCAAAATACCAAGGTCAGAGGTTCCCAGCATTCGTATTCTGACAGCAAGTCCGAACTCTGTCATTTAAACACATCTCAGTCCTTCCTGATCCTCTGAGCAACAACATTCCTACAATCCAGATGCCTAGGGGCCTTTTAACTTCTTAACTGCTGGATTTTTAATAATCCTACTGAGATTTTTCACTACTGGAAGAGAGTGGTGACATCACAGCATCTGAATGATTAGGGCCTGCATCCTCTTGGTTGGTTCAGTGACAGAATCGTTGGTCCTTGGCATCTAGCATCCTGTGGCTGAGGCTGGCACAGGGAGCTCTCCACATCCCCGTGCATCATGTGATGGGGGTGGTCGGTTCCTGGGTCCCACAGTCTTTGATCTGAGAGGTTGGCCCCACCAGGGCCACCCCCCACCCCCACCCGCTGGAGGATGACATTCCAAGGATGTCAAGAACAGAATTTGGGGCAGCTGACCTATTGCTCCTAGCAGAACCATCTGGAGGCCTCAGACCTCACACCCTGAGTATGCCCTGCTCCCTGAAGAACACACCAGAGGCTTTTCGGTTCACACCTTTGGTCTCTCACAGGATGGTGAGAAAAACAACAAGCTGTGGAGCCAATAATTATTCCACTCACCAAAGATGAGGAAGCCTGGATAACAAGACTACTTGCTTTGAGTAGAGCTTCCAATAAATGAATGAGGCTCCTTTCCACCACACGGGGGGCCCTGGAATCCCCATGTTGTCCCTTGGTGTCCAAATCCTAGCATGTCGTCATGCATCTTCTCAGGCTAACATGCCCTCCAATACGTGAGGGGTTCTGGGTGAGGCTTGTTTCTTGAATCCCCCTGACTCCTCTCTTCCCCTCAACTTCCCACAGTGCTCGCCAGGCACAGAGCAATAGACACATGGAAACAAATTAAGGGCTGGATTCCTTAATGCTGAGGAAACCTCTAATACCTCCTTCTCTTTAACCCCAGTGCAGAAAATCCCTGGTCATGAGTCCTGGGGGACAACTAAACCAGAAAGCTAGGTGAGGCTTTTCTCGCCTTCCCTGCAAACCCTAATGGCTGGGCTGATGAAGCCATCGGAACAAGGATGGCCAGGAGCCCCTCCCCACCTCCTGCGGGGACAGACCGGAAATAGGGCAGGACGAGTGACTGGGAAGAAGGGAAAGGAGGTGGGGTCTGGGAAAGAGGGAAGGAAGAGAGAATCCCATGACTCTGTGGTGGGGACAGCAAGGCCTTGAGGTGCTTGGTGGTCCACGAGGGAGGGAGGGAGGAGGAAGTCTGCAGCTTTCAAGGCTCAGTTCCCCCGCCCACCAGAAAAACGCAGCCATTCATCCCTTCGATCCCGGGTTCTGGACACTGGCTGAGGGATAGACTTGTGCTCAGTGCGACACCAGATGTGTGCAAGCTTTCCCTGGGAGTCCCGTTGGGGCCTGCAGGGTGCTGAGCTCTGAGGAAAATAACCAGGTGGGAGAGTGGGACCCCAGGGAGTGAGCAGGAGAAGCAATGGAGGACGTGGTCCCCGAGATCCCAGAAGACAAGCCCATGGAGAAGGGAAGTCAGGCCTCCAGAGCCCAGGCGAGCCCCCTGATGAACTCAACCAAAGGCACAATATATCAGTCCATATTTATTGAAGCAGACGATAGAAGACAGGATTGCGAAAGCCACACAGATCTTCAATACACTCCCCCCCAACGAAGCGATGTCTGAGGCTCAGAGAGGCGGCGTCTCCTGGCCCCCGAGCTGGTTGATCTCCTCGACATATGGCCAGGTTCCTTGACTTGTGGCTGACCTCTGCTATCTCTTTTCTATTCCACCCCTTCCACCACCACTTTTTTTCCAAATCAGCCACTGTTCCAAAACCCTTTAGATTATCATTGGAATTTCACTGGTTGCTCAGCGCACCCTGAACCCAAAGAGCACCAACAATTTGCTAAACATTCCCCCCTACCCTTCTGCCAACTGCAATAACCCCTCCCTCATTGGGCTCAGCTTCAGAAATGCCAAACTCCTCAACACCCCAACACAAAACCTTTATTTTGCACTTTTTCCCCCTCTAATAAGGCACCTCCATGTCATTGTCCCACACATGTCCCTGCTCCCCGCCCTGCTCGGGGATCACGGAGTCGGGCCCTCCTTCAGAATTTCATAGATCTCACTGAGCTTCTCCAGCTTGGTCTCCAGCTCCCGGGCCTGCTGCCTCATGTCTTCAGCTGACTCTGTCTTTGCGCCCTTTTGCAAGTGTTCTGAGTCTTTCACGAGGCTGACCACATCCATTGCAAGGGAGAGACCTGCAGTGGCCGCACCCATGATCCGGGCTCCTTTGGTCATTGCCAGAGCAGTGCCTCCAAAAGCTTTCTGCACCTGCCGGCCACTTCGAACTGAGATTCTCTGAGCTGTCATAAGGCGCCTGGCATTGACTACAAGGCGAGGTTTGACTTTGGCTAGCTTGATGGCACGAACATTCCTTGCAATGCTTTGCAGGGCTCTAAAGCATTTATCTGTTAAGGAATAAATCTGGGGTATGCGGTCATGCAGAACCTTTGCAATGACCTCCCCTTTGTCAAAATCAGTTGATGTCAGGTGACTGGCTTGGGCTTTTGCGGACGACTCACTTGAGACTTCCACGAGGCTGGTAGACACCTGGGTCACAGCGGCTGCTGCTCCCAGCCCCATTCCAGTTGCCAAGAGTGCCAGACTGGCCCCTGCTGTCACAGGAGCCAGACCCAGACCAAGGATGCTCAGGAGGCCAGACACAGCACCAGCGGAGTTGGCTACTATGTTGGCGATGGTGCAGTCCCGGTGTACCTTGTCCACCTCATCTGCGAGCTCGTGGAGCTTTCTTATACGCTCCTCAAGCTTGAGTTTCAACTCGGGAAACTGATGCAGAAAACTCTCCCTAGCCTGCTGCTCTTCGGCCTCCAGATCCATCGTTCTTTGCAACTCGTTCAGAACTTCACGTAGGGCTTCTGCCTCCTCCCTGTAACAGGGAAGATCAAGGGATTAGGAGAAGCTTATCCGGAAAATGGGCTCCATTTGCTCTAACCTCCATACACCACAGAACTTTTACTGTAAACCAAGTGGAAAAGAATGTTACAAATGCAAAGAACCCTTCCTGCAATGTTGCACACGTTCCGCACACTGCTCACGCTCCATAACACACCCCAGTTGGGGAGTAAATAAGTCCGTGTCATCCTCAGAGGCTCTTAAATAGTGGCTATTGGAGGAAGACGGCCTCACAGTCAAGGACAGATCCCCACGGTCAGTACCACAGTGTGTGCAGACTGGGAACTCTGCAGATGAAGAAAGGGAAGTGAGGTTGGAACAGGAAATCCTTCTTTCGGAGAAATGTCATGTGTGCTGAGGGATGAACCTACCCACAGAGGTCTTCCCTTGCCCTGGGCACTGCGAAGTGAGCTCTAGGCCCCACCTAGGATGTCAAGGGTCCTAGAATGATACGACTGTCTTCCTTTGCCTGGGCCTTTGGCCATGGGACAGCCTGACAAAATGATGGAGTCTTTGGGTCATGAGCTGTCAGTTGTGACTATGGAGGATCTAGAAACTGGCCTCCCAGGAGAGCAGAAGGCGACAGGTCAGCCATGCAGGCAGATGTGACTGAGCCCCAGTAAACTCTGTTCTGAGGTTCAGGCTGAAAAATACTCTCTCCCGGAAAACACGTTACCCAGGCTCTCATGAGCCCTTCTCTTGACTGTGCCTTGACCTTGGTCTTCTGGGCTCTGACCTTAACAGACTGCGTACAGTCTTAGCAAGAGCTCTGTTAAGACAGCTTAGTGAGAATCCACACACTCTCAATATCTCATCACATTTGACATCTGATCAAATTCCACCTTTGATGTGCCAGTCTTTGACCTGCCTTCAGGAAGAACCCTGTTGGGTCAGGTTAGCAAGAATCCCTCCACTTTAATGTCTCCTCTTACTGATTTCCCATCCCTTGCCCTCGCCCTGCTCCTTGCCTAGAAATCCCTACCGGTCTTCACTCTATTTCAAGATGAGCCCAATCTCTCCCCACTATGACATCACTCTTGACACCTATGGCATGAATTAAGTCTTCTTGACCATTTTAGTAAGTGTCACAGTAATTGCTTACTTGCACAGTGTGAGCATCCCAGGCGGGCAATGCTCCCGGTGCACTGTCACACACTGAATACAGGACAGTAAGGCCTCCTGAGGACAGTGGAAACTTTGCACTGGAAACCCTCCCAGACTCTGCCCCAAGTGTCTCTCTCCTGGCTGGTGGGAAGCTGTATCTCTCCATGTCACACAACATAACTGAGGGGACAGCTCTCGGTGAGCTCTGTGAGTGCTTCTGGGGAATCATCCAATCCCGGGGGGGTTGGGGACACCCCCAAATTTTAGTTGGTGCAAAAGTAGGGACAGTCTTAGGGATTGTGCCCTCAGACTTTGCAGTTGGCTAACTCTGGGTACTTGAAGTTTAAGAAAACAAGATCTCACAGCAAGAAGAGTCCTTAATCACCATTTTGCTTGACAGCTGCTGTCTCTCCCAAGCCTGCTGGCTGTTCTCTGATGAGGCCCGCTGCCCCAACTGACTGAGAGCCAGGACATCCACTACCCTTGGTTCCCCTCAGACTTTCCAGCTCATGTCATGGATTCCCCAACCACCACCCAACACCGCCAACCTCACACGTGTCACAGCCTAAATAATACCTTAGCTGGTCACAGCTCTGCATGCATGTACACCAAGGCCATGTGCAACTTTACAACATCTCTTAAAGCTACAAGAGACTTTGTGAACCTTCTATTTGAACCAGTAAGCTGGAAATGATCTAGGTTTGGAGAAGAAAGTAGTTTCCTCTTTGGTGGGGACTTCTGAGGCTCAGAATCCCTCAAAGGCTACACAATTGGCAGCTGTCCCCTGTGGAGCTGGAAGTTGTCACAAAGTCACACTGCCTCCTATTGGTCTGGGGCTGCCCAGTTTAGAAGACAGGGGTTTCAAAATGGTAGTCAAGACTGACCCAGCTCCAAGGCAAGGTATGGAAGAAACCCTGCCCCATGGCCTGGCAATCCCAGCGGTGAGGAGATCAAAGAAGGGAGGGAAGAAATGTCCCCTCTCCCTCACACCCAACCTCTGCTAGGCCCCTGGTCTCCTCAAGTTTGTGCCCTAGAGCTTCCCTCAGTCCCAGATCCACTGCCCAAGCCTACCTAGTCCTCCAATCTAGATACCCTGGTCCTCTTATCAATTGTGACCACTGGCTCTGGCCCTGGTCCAAGCCTCCTGGGACCTTGGACAGGATGACTAGGTTCTTCACCTTTGACCTTGAAATTCACACCAAGGCCCTGGCCACAATCCTCTCAGGTTGAATTACTGTTCCCATGGAACAAATGCCCAATCTGACACTCCCAGACACACAGACCCAGAGAGCTCCAGGGCTGGGCAGAGAGAGAGAGTCAGGATCCAACCAGCTCAGTCCAATTCCACTCCAGCCTCTCCGCCTCATGGGCCCGCAGGATCCTGCTGCATGGTCATGCAGCTGCTCAGGTGGGGAGGGAAGGCTCTCGTCCGAATCCCCAGGGCCACAGACTGACATGTCAGTGTTCTTGTGACTGGTCCCAGAGGAAGTCGTGCTTGGCCCTCATCTCCAGGAAGAAGACCCTTACCACCATCTCTTCTCGGTAACCTTCCAATGAGTTAACACTAATGGAGTTCCTACTATGTGTCATCACTATGCTAGGGACCTTACGTGCATTATCTTCATTTCCCCATGATAAAATTGAACAGATAAAGAGATCAAGGCAGAGAAGGGTCAGCTTTAGGTTAAGGCCTAAGGTCACATAACCTGCCCTCTGCAGGTTTCCTTCTCCTCAATCCGAGACCATTCACTGCCAGCAAATGTCATGGAAGACATGTTCCTCATGGATTGTCGAGAAGGAACATGCTCAACCCCAGCCCCAGGACACTGTCCCGCAGAGACCTGGCTGACCATCGGGGGCATCTGCACGGGGGGCGGGGCGTACCTGGACAAAGTGGCCTCAGCCTCAAATCTCTCCCAGGATTCATGGTCACTCAGCAGGAAGTCTAGTTCCTCACGCCTAACTGTGTTCCGGAAAGTCTCAATGACCTCCTCAAGAAGGCCTTCACTCTCTAGATGGAAAAAAAAATATGAAAGGCTTTTAGTTTTTTCTTTTTCCTGCTTCCCTAAGGGAGAGAGGAAACCAGGGCTTAGCTGGAGGGAAACCACAGCGCTGAACTGTGCTTTTATGGACCCGCCGGTGGGTGGGGAGGGGAAATAGGTGTGAGCCGGCTGAAGGCATATTGAGATCAACAGAATCCGTTCCTGCCCCGCTTTCGTATCTAATAGGCAGGGGCTTACAGATGGGACACAGGACAAGTGCCCTAATATAGCCGTGGGAGCCCGGGGGATGCTACGGGAGGGGAGGTTTTACCTGGAACTAACAGGGTCCAGGGACAGGGGACAGCAACAATACTTAGGGAGGACACACTCTGTAGCAGGCCCTGGCCCAAACACATAAACACATTCTATTTGATCTTCATAACCACACAAGGAAATACTCTCATTTTACAGGTTAGGTAAGGTAAGGCACTCCAGATCACACAGCTGGGAGGTAGCAAAGACCAGACCGGGGTCCAGGTCGTGGCCCACTGACCCTCACAGAGCACTCAGGCTGGCAGCCGGGTGAGAGCTGGAGGAAATGGCCTCTCTTGTAAAGCCCCACAGTCATCCTGAGCCATGCTGGAGGCTTGGACAGGGCAAGAGGGCAGGACCACGCTCCAAGGCTGCTGGTCTACCCCCTCCCCCCACCACGCCTCAGGATCCCTTTTTTCCCCTCCTTTCCCCTCTGCTCTCCCCCACCTCCCTCTGGACTGTCCTGGCCTCACTTCTGGGTCATTGATGGATTTGACGGGCAGCAGGGGAAGGGAGGAAGTAAGCACCTCAGCCATGACCCTCAGAAGACAAGAGSGAGGTGTCCCTACAGACTCCTGGGCTGGGGACTCCCCTTGACCTCTCTTGGGGGCTCAAGGAAGCTCTTCAAGGGACCGATTCCTCTGTRGGTGAGCTCAGCTGGAGGCATCCCCGCAATTCCAGGGATCATCCAGAGAAGTGGAAGGCGACTACCTGGGCTGAGCCCACGGGCTCCCGAGGTCATGGTGTCGCCGTAGCTTTCCCTACTGCTTGCGTCCGCGTTGCAGTTAGAAGGAGCTGTCGCTTCACCCCTGGGCAAGAGAGAACAAATCGTGGGGTCAGATGTGAGCCAGCGGAGGCAGCAGGCAGCAGTGAGGGGCCAGGTCTTGGGGCTTCCCTCTGGGATGGCGACAAATGCCAGGATGGACTTTACCCCGTGTGTGTGTACTGGCTCCTGCCGCTGCTATTGAAGGAAAGTTACTCACCTCACTCCAGCTCACTCCCAAGCCGAGTCAGGGTCCTGTCGCCTGTTGGGGCACAAGAAGAAGATCATCGGATGAGGCGACTGCCATCTGAGAAGTTACAGAAGCAATGAAACCAAACACAGAAGAAAAGATGGGAACACGTGTTCTGGAAATTCCTTGAGGTCCGGAACGTGTGTTTACTGATGGGTAAGAGCTAATACTGATCGAGTATTGATGACAGGCAGGCTCCTGAGGTGGCCCCTCACTGAGTACCCCACTCCAGGACGTGGGGCTCCTGGGGCTCCCACTAGTAAGTGCAGGAAACCATCACCTGAACTTAGGTTAGTCCAAGTTCTCACAGTAGTGCTAGAGTCAGGACGGGAACCCGATTGTCTCTGATCCAAATCCTGTGCTCTACTCCCTTTAATCTACAAAAAGATTTGTTTATGTACAGTGACTTTTGAACAATACAGGGGTTAGGGGTGCTGACCCGCATCCTCATGAAGGAAAAAAGGCATGCGTAATTTCTGACCTTCAGAACTTAACTATTAATAGCCTACTCCGGACCAAAAGCCTTACCAATAACATAAATAACTGATTAACACGCCGTTTGTATGTTATATGTATTAGGAAACGTGTTCTTGCAACAGAGAAAGCTTGAGAAAATTAAAATGCTAAAATCATAAGGAAGAGAAAGTACATTTACTGTACTGCATAAGTCGATCTGTGTCATTCAAATTTGTGTTGTTCAAGGGTCAGCTGTGTAAGTATTTATTTGTAAATGACTCCTCTCCTTCCAGAGTTGGCTTGCATCGCTAACCAGTCTTTGTCACTCAATTTCCTGGTGCCACAGCTTCCCACAGCCTGTGTCCTCCTTGCTTCTGCAAGATTCTTCATCCCATAGGGTTTGGACTCCTGCTGAGTCCTGGCACAATCCCTACAGCCCTTGTCTAGCCTTCTTGATGATGTGCAGTCCTCTCTCTAGTCCCCCCCCAACTGGGAACTTTAGACTCTTTCTGATTCTTCATCTAAATGTAAATGCAAAGAACAATCTCCTTGTATGAAACACTGCCTGTATTTGAGATTATTTCCTTAAGACACTTCTAGAAGCACGATGACTGGGTCAGAAGCTATCAACACGTATAAGTTTTTTCTTACCTAGAGCCACACTGTTACAAAAAAAAGTTATACCAATCACATGCACACTCACAGTACATGAGGGTGTCCATCATCCTATTTTTTTAAAAAACAGACCGTTGGGCACCTGGGTGGCTAGGTTACTGGGCATCTGCCTTCAGGTCTAGTTATGATCCCAGGGTCCTAGGATGGAGTCCCATATCGCCACTCTGCAGGAAGCCCTCTTCTCCCTCCCCTACCCACCCTACTTATGTTCCTCCTCTCCTGTGTCTCTCTCTGTCAAATAAATAAATAAAATCTTTAACAATAAAAATAAAAATAAACTAAAAAATAAAAAACAGACCCCTAACAAGAGAGAATTTATTTTTATTTTATATTTATTTATTTATATAAATATATATAATTATATAAATAATTTATAAATAATAAAAATTATATAAATAATTTATTTATATAAATCATTTATATTTATTTTAGGCAAGTAAAGTTCTGTTACTACCCTGCCTTGCGAGATAAGGAAAGACAGCAATTGTTGATTACATTTAAGCATTATATTTTAAGTTAACTTTTTTTTTTAATAATCTCTACACCTGATTTGGGACTCGAACTCACAACCCCAAGGTCAAGAGTCCCAGGCTTTTCCAACTGAGCCAGTTAGGAGCCCTTTGGCACTATCTGAACAAGACAAAAGAGCATTTAACAGCCACTCCTCCTGAGACCTGACTGAAAGAGAGTAAAAGTACTTATAGGTATAAAAATAACGAATGAAAACAGTGACTCACATTTGTGTCCTAAGCTCTGGACCGGTGATGGCTCTAAGACTTTACAAATAGTAACCCGTCTTCTTCCAATAATCATTGAGCTGCGTATCGCTTGCATCCCTGTTTGCAGATAAGGAAACTAAAGCACAGACTATGTGATTTTTCCCGGAGTCAGAAATCTGGTCAGCGGTAGCCTGGGTGCAACCCTGCCTGCTGGACTCAAGCACCCACACAGCGTCTCTCTTCATTCTGCTGCCAAGGAAAAAGGAGAACGGGGCCCAGTGGTAGTCCAGAGGCTTAGACAAATGTTTGAATGCAGACTGGTCGGAGAATTGAAGCTGAATACAGAATCATAGAGGGAGTTTCCATCAGAAAAACAGAGAGAGGGCAAATAGGCAGCAAGAACGGTCTGCTACACAGAGCTGCGGAAAGGGAGACCGAAGCTGAGAGGCAGGTGGAGGTGAGCAGGAATAAGGTTACCAACCCCGCACCCGACCCTATATTCACATCAGCCCAGGTCTACACCAGACGGGGAAAAGCAGAATTGAAAGCCTCCAGAAAAAAATACCTGTCTTCTGGCGTCTAGGAGGCCCTCATCCACTCACTCTACATGGAAGCCCGTCAGTCAACTTACCTCTCTCTTCGATACGGTTGGGCAACGCAAGAAAGAGGACCAGATGGAAAGGGTGGCTAAGATCGATAAAAAATGACACCAGAAGGCGTCCATGGCTGGCTCAGTTGGCAGAGCATGCAACTCTTGATCTCGAGGTCAGGAGTTCAAGCCCCATGTTGGGCATAGAGCTCACACTATAAAAAAGTCAGAATAACGTGGCATCTGGGTGGCTCAGTGGGTTAAGCCTCTGCCTTCGGCTCAGGACATGATCTCAGGGTCCTGGGATCGAGCCCCGAGTCGGACTCTCCCCTCCCCCTTGTGATCTCTCTCTTTCTCTCTCTGTCAAATAAATATATAAAGTCTTTTTTTAAAAAAAAGTCAGAATACCAAAATCAACTGGACTTAATAAACCTTAAAAACACTGATACCAGAAGAAATACATAATTTTGATAGAAAATAATTTTTTAAACCTTGAATCAATGTCCTCTGGGAGATTAGAAAATTGTTGTTTTCATAAAATGAGAACAGGATGCACTGGAAAGGGAAAAAATAATGGGACAAAAAAGAGATCTTGGGACTTAAAAAGTGATTGACATCTAAAGAAGTCTAAGGTAAGGTTAGAAAAGTCAAGGAAAACTTCCAGAAAATAAAACAAAAAGGTGACAACAGAAAGGGACCTAAATGGGGAATGACGAGTTACCATTTGCTATCATTTCTTAGAAAATTACTTGAGAAAGAGCTGCAGGAAAAAAAAAGTTCATGTGTTTATGGCATGAGGTAGAGGATAATAACCAAGAGACCAAAAGACAGAAAGATGTGAGGTCCAGGAAACAGGAACATTAACATAGACAGAAAGGAACCCAAGGAATGCAGCTGGGCATGCAGCAGACGTAGAGAGCAACAGCCCAGTATGGAGTAAAAAGTGAAGAGTTGTGTGGGGAAGGGGGACTTGGTATAATACTGACATAATGCACTGTTCAAAAGAAATTGAGGAGACGTTGAAGGCAATATTGCAAGGGGTTAAAACAAGGGCAATTAGAAAGTTGGGAAAAATTAAGACTGCACAAGAAAGCGTGTGCCACTACATTTCACAAGTTAGCTTTACAGTAAACAATACTGAAAACATCACAAATATGTAAACATTCTTGTTTGATTTTTAACTTCTAGAACAAAAGAGACTATTTAAATACAAGAACTAAATGCACCTGTGGTCAATCAATATGTAAATCAAAGTACAATGGTAGAAGTTGGGAGCTGCAGCACTGAAGAGAGGAGAAGGATTAATATCCTCATTTTACAAAGCGGGCGGTCCGAAAATACCGGCTGCAATTGAGAGGCTAGGAAATGAAGAGGTAAGAAAAAAAGAAAGAAAGAAACAAAGGTGTAAGTAAATGCCTTACGACTAGAAAGGTTTCTAACTGAGGACGTAAGTTTAGTGATAGAATGATATTAGGACAAGGTGGGGAGGTGTGTAAGAAAAAGTATAAAAATAAGTGAAATCATTCTCTGCCCTAGTAAGAAATAAATAGCTCATATTACAATTTAAAAGTCAAGGGAGGGGTGCCTGGGTGGCTCAGTGGGTTAAGCCTCTGCCTTCGGCTCAGGTCATGATCTCAGGGTCCTGGGATCGAGTCCCCCATCAGGCTCTCTGCTCAGCGGGGAGCCTGCTTCCCCCTCTCTCTCTGCCTGCCTCTCCGCCTACTTGTGATCTCTCTGTGTCAAATAAATAACTAAAAAAATCTTAAATATAAATAAAAATCAAGGGAATGAAGTTAGCTATCGTGGTGGGTGACTACCTACTTTGCACCAGGCACCGTTCTAAGTGATTTGGACGCATCAACTCATACATTAGTTCTCACCATGATTCTGTAAGAAAAGGAACTGAAGCCCAGAAAGGTTAGGTAATTGACCCAAAGCACCCAGCTAGTGCCAGAGCCAGAATTCAAATCCAGACTCCTTATCTCCAGAGCCTACACTCTCACCTATTCTGTTCTCCCACTGTAGGAATATCATATAAAGATACTGATTAACCACCTAAAGAAAAAGCAACACATTGAAAGTGATTCTTTCTAACTGGGAAAGTGGGTGATCAGAGCCCTCGGGACTAATGGATTTGTTTTAACCATTTGCACTTGTTACTTCGATTTCTTTTTTAATTTTAAGAAAGTGGAAGTCCCTTTAGAGCAGTGAGTAACAGCTCACCCCAATAATAGGCTGGTTTCTGGCACCACCATGTTCAACATGATGAGAGCCAGTGGATCAGTACTCATAAGAAATCAGCATGACTCCTGATGTGACAAGTGGCAGCGTGGGAGAAACCTCGGTGGTTGATAAAGTAAGTTCTCTAAGAAAAGTGGGATAATAACATAGGTTCAACGAGAATAATCAGAGTGAACATCACCCTTTCACAGGTATATATATGGTCTAGCATCCCTCGCCCACTCCCACAGGTACCCATGGGTTTTCCTCCACTCAAAGGTAGCAAGACACCTTGGAAGAAAACTGAATTCCAGGGGCCTTCAACAGCCCCTACTCCAGAAGGAAATGATGCTTCGGGGATGTTCAGAGAGGTGCTCAATAGGGCACTCAGTGGTGATCCTACCAAATTACATAGAGTAATAATGATACTTGATAATGATTATTTTGATCATGTTTAATTGGGCCAGCCTGAGTCTGTGAAAGGCCGTGAGTTCTTAATAACGTTCAAAGGAGAAGAGCCGAGACCAAGTGTACAAAAAAAGTAGATATAAAGGTAAAATGTTGTAATGCAAAAAGGAGTTAGTATAATGGGGACTCTTTCACGGTTAATTAATCCTAATAAGAAATGGAGTCTTTTTTAAATAAAGATTTTAGTTATTTGAGAGAGAGCGAGCATGAAAGGGGGAGAGGGACAGAGAGTGGCAGGCAGAGGGAGAGGGAGAAGCAGGCTTCCTGCTCAGCAGGGAGCCCAACGTGGGGCTCCCCCATTACCATCACAATTCGGGTCCTGAATCACAGACTTAAAAAAAGAGAACACAGGGCCCTTGGCTGGCTCAGTTGCTTAAGTGACTGCCTTAGGCTCAGGTCATGATCCCGGAGCCACAGGATCGAGTCCAACATCGGGCTCCTGGCTCCACAGGGAGTCTGCATCTCCCTCTGACCTTCATCCCTCTCATGCTCTCTCTCACACTCAAATAAATAAATAAATAAATAAATAAATAAATAAATAAATAAAATCTTTTTAAAAAAAGAAACTTGGGGCGCCTGGGTTGCTCAGTGGTTAAGGCCTCTGCCTTCGGCTCAGGTCATGATCTCAGGGTCCTGGGATCGAGTCCCGCGTCAGGCTCTCTGCTCGGCGGGGAGCCTGCCTCCTCCTCCTCCTCTCTCTCTCTGCCTGCCTCTCTGCCTACTTGTGATCTGTCAAATTAAAAAAAAAAAAAATCTTAAAAAAAGAAACTTAGGTGTTAAAAAAAAACACCCATAATGTGTAGACTCACAAAATTAAAAAGTCCATTTCACCCCATTTTCCTGGCATTGACATCTTCCCTAACTATGGTCATTCTCAAAGCAAGGATACGGACCCCAGTTCAAGTAACTGGATGATGGACCTCACTCAAACTGCCCTAGTTTCTGCCCACACTCACTGGTATGTCTGCATGAGAGTCCGAGGACCTGTGGATTCACGGGACCCTCACAACACTTGAGACTGTTCTGTCCCTGCAAGCAAACTCCCTGGAACTCACCTTTTAGGGTCACACCTTCCCAGGACTTCCCTAACTCCTGGCAACCACTGACCTGCTTTCCATCTCTATAATTTTGGCATTCTGAGAATATTTGATAAGTGGAGTCACACAGTATGTAAGCCTTTAAGACTGGCATTTATAAAACATGCCCAGTGTAATGGGCTTGAACCCCATCTAAGTTCCTGCCTATACACATAGTCCTTTCCTTTCTGTGGCTGAATGACTAGGATCTAAAGAGAGCCAGGACCTTGGGGGCCCCTCCAAATCCCCCCTGTGCCAGGATCCCAGACATGGGGGTTTCACCTCCAGGAAGCAGCTTTTCCACATCACATTGCTTTTCTGCACAAACAGACCTACCTGATCATGGCTTCCTCGCCTCTACCCTGTTCTTTGGCTAACTACTCCCTCCCTGTCCCCTTCCAAAACATACGCTGTGAACTTCTTTCCCTCTCGGCCTGGTGGGTGGGTCAGGCAACCCTGGGACTGCCCATCCCTTGTGGGCATGATGGGTCCCCGGTCGGAATTTCCCCTGCACAAAGGGCAGAGTCGAGTCACGGAGCTGAAGGCAAAGGACAGATATTTGCAGAGTACTGCAGTGGACTGAATGGTGGTCCCTAAAAGACACACCCATGACCTCATCTCTGCACCCCATAACTGACATCATGTAGAAAAACCCTATGTCTTTGTAAATCCACTAAGTTAAAGATCTTGAGATCATCACAGAATATCTGGGTGGGCCCTAAATCCGATGACTAGGGTCCTTATGGGAGACACCCAGAGGAGAGACAGCAGGGAGTTGAGGGGAGAAGGCCACGTGAAGGCAGAGGCAGACATCAGAGGGAAGCCTGGAGCCGTCACAGCTGGAAGAAAGTAGTTCTCCCCTGGATCCTCTAAGAAAGCTAGAAGCACCCAGAGTCCTCTGGTGCCTGGCACCCGACTACCCCCCTGCCGTCATCTGCGGCTTCCTCCCCAGGGCCGGCGAGCACACCTGCACCTGTGCAGAGGCTGAAGGAGTGGGCAGACGAAGCCCACCGCTTTCCGTAGCAGACAAGCTGGCCCCACAGCGGTCCCGGGACCCTGGCGGTGCACCTCTCTAAGGGATGCCTTTCCCTCTCCTCCCTCTTGCTGCTGCAGGGACCTCTTGTCTTCCTTGTCCTCCTAGGGCAGGTGCCCAGCAAGGGGCCGGGTTCTCCTCTGCCTTTGTTAAAAGAACCAATGAAAGAACAAAAGTCTGGCGGCCTCCTGCTCCAATACCTACAGACCCCACCACCGGACTCCCTTGGTCTTGCTTATGTACAACTCGAGATGAACCTCCAGAGGGCAGGCTTTGTCTAACAACTAAGAACGTTAATAAGTCAGCACCTAGATTTGGGTCCCTAAACCCGTCAAGCGCACAGTGGGTACCCAGTAACTGAACTAAACGGAAGTTTTAAAAGACCCTCTTGGCATCCTTGCCCCTGGTCCAGTCCCCCTTTCTAGCTTACCTTTCCTGCATGGCTGCCACTCCTCACCCCAGTCTGTGCCTCAGCCATGCTGCACTACGGGAAGCTTTTGAAGATGCACAAAGTCTCAGTCAGTGACGCGTCTGCCTTTGGCTCAGGTCCTGATCCCATCATCCTAGGATCAAGTCCTTGCATCGAGTTCCCTGCTCCGTGATGAGCCTGCTTCTCCCTCCCCCTCCTCTTGTGCTCTTTCCCCATCTCTCAAATAAATAAAATATTAAAAAGAAGATGATGCACAAAGCGATGCCATCCCGTCCAGGCAACCCGCTCCGGCTGACAGACACCAGCAGACACACAGCTCGTAGCACGGTACTCTTTATTGTGACGCTCAGTGGAAAACATCTGTAAACCAGCTTATTGTAGTGGTGACAGCTGTAACACATGCTAAGGCACTTTTATTATATAAAAAAGGGGTGGGGCTGGGAGCTCCATTCACTCCTTTGTGACAGCAACTGGGACCTGAATTCAGAGCTTTTTAGGCATACGTAGCTTTCATATATCTTCATGATTTGTTGAGTTTTCAAAAAAGAAAAAAAAAAAGATGCCTTCTTTGCCATAAGTAAGTCTAAATGCAGCATATACAAAACAGGAATACAGGTAAATTCAGCAACCAGTGTAGACCAGTGTAGGACAAGCTACTCTCTTCTAAACATGGTTTCAAAGGAAAGGCAGTGATAAAGACTTGGAATTTTATCATTTATTATAAGGCGAGGGGAGAAGAAACCTTTTTTTTTTTTTTCCTTTCAAACACATCCATGCAGATGGCAGATCTTTAAACCATACTGAGTCGACGGTGCAGATTATGTACCCTGGGCCCCAGTCCTGGAGTAGGTACAAGGTCGTGTGGGAGGGCCGCTGGCCCTTCGCAATGCTCTGGCTGTCAGACCTGGGACAAGTCCCTTAACCATTAAATATATTTGGTCCCCAAGAATGTTGGGAGAAGCCCCCGATGGCCTTCCCAGTGTGTCCCTGAGGCCCTGTCTGCTGGGCCCAGCAGCCCCCTGGTGGCAGGGGCCGGCTGTCCTCCACAGAGGAGGGAAGGGGGTCATCATTGCACTTGAGACACTCTGAAACAGGAAGGGGACCACTGTGGCGCTACCCAGAGCGCGTGGGGAGGAACGGCTCCTTCCTTGCACCCCGCATTCTGTGCCCTGCACAGAGGGGGCAGCCCTGGGCCTGCCCTTACCCAATCACCCAGGGCCCACGGGAGTGCGGGGCCAACGGGGCAGAGGTCGTGAGGTCACCGTGTGTGATTGCCAACAGCAAAGGAGGAGGGGGAGCTGGTGGCGGAGGTGGGGGAAGGTGACAACTCTTCTGGGGTGCTGGGCTATCAAAACTTCTTAATCTGAAGAAAAATAGATTCATAGAAAACTCTTTGCCCATCCCCGGTGGCCTGCCCTCCTTGCCTCACCGTCTTGTGCTATGTGGCAAGGGAGGGCCGAGATCCTGCTGGTCACTCAGTTCCCAGGCCAGGGGCCCAGGACTCTGACTCTTTGGTATCGGGTGCGGGGGGGTGGGAGGGGAGCAGAAGCGGATGCAGCGGAGGAAGCCAAACGCCCTCAGAAAGGCCTGGGGGGGTGGGCGGGGAGGCGCAGGCTTGAGGTCTCCTGGCCTGGTGGGACTGGGTGGGGAGGTCACGGTCACGGCAGTCCCCAGAAGGTGGAGGAGGGTGCTGCAGGGTGGGGGGTGCTGCAAAGGGGAGACGAGTCATCTGGCGGTCTGTCCATCCGTTCCGGGCAGCAGGAGGAGAGATTACTCAGCAGCTTTGGCCTCAGCC